GCTTCATTGTCATAAAATATTGTTTTATGTTTTGCCATTATTAAGATTCTAGTCCTTGTTATATCTTCGTTTTAAACTCATACAGTATGAAACGCATAAAAAGCTTCAACTTCAACTCAAGACATGATTGTCTTGTTTTAGGTCATACTTACATTCGATTCCAAGAGGAGAAGGTCAATTTCTTAATTCTAAATGCACTTAAGAAGGTTTATTTTCTATGCGGTAGCCGCTTAATAGTGCCTGCTTCAAAAGATTTCATTTTGCAGAATTCATATTCGATTGTGTATGAAGCTATAAGCTTATAGACACACAATCGAAAAAATACTTAAGCTAAAAGTTGCTGATGAAAAGGAATCCTTATTTCTTAATGTACTTTATATGAAGTTTCAAAAATGAATGACACAAAACAAATTTCAAGGAGCGTTACAAATAGGCTTAAGTTACATACAAAAGTAAGACCAAGACGTTTTGTAACATTTCGTAATGGTCTAAACAGACTCTATTATGCAAATGAATTGTGATGGTTCTATTTTTTGTATTGTGTTAATAGAAATATCTACTAATGATTTAAAGTTCAAATTTAGTTAAGATTATTTGGATCATTTCTGCCACATCGCTCTGGCCCGCGCCTCCTGACACACTGATTATAAATCAGTTAACACTGATTATTATAAGTAATCGGTAAAAAAAAAACATCAAATAAAACAACCACAACAACAACAACAAACAACAACAACAACAACAAAAAAGAAGGGCAGTATAGTCGAAATTATTATCATCTCTAGTGATTTTCATCTGAACTTTGACCCCTATGTGTGGCATTGACCTTGGCTGTAGGAACCGTTAGTTTACACGCGACACTCTGCCTCACAATAGTGAACATTTGTGCCAAGTTATATTGAAATCCCTCTATGCATGTATTAAGTTTTGCACCGGACAAGCGTTTTTCAATGACCACTAAGTATGACTTTGACCTTTGACCTAGAGACCTGGTTCATGCACGCGACACGGCTTTTTATAGTAGTGAACATTTGTATGAAGCTTCATAAGGATTCCTCCGTATGTGTAGGAGATATGCTCTGACAAAATTTGTATCGTCTTTAGTGACATCGACAATCATCTTTAGTGACCTTGACTTTGCATTTTATAACCTAAATTACATGTTTCACACCAATAGTCATGATAATGACCATTTGTGTTTCAATCCCTCATTAAATGATGACTAAATGGTCCCAATACACATTTTTATATTTTTCCCCTATGTGTGGCCTTGGCCGAAGGGACCTGAATTTTGCACGCGACAAACCGTCTTACAATAGTTAACATTTGTGTTATTATTGAATTTCCTTTATGCATGTAGACGTTTTGCTCCTGACAAGTGTTTAATGACCTCTAAGTGTGACTTTGACCTTTGACCTAGAGGCCTGGTTCGTGCGCGCGACACGGCTTCTCATAGTGTTTAACATTTCTATGAAGTTTCAATAAAATTCCTCCGTGGGTGTTGAAGATAATTGGACGCCGCCCGCCCAGCCGCCAGACCGTCCACCCACCCGCCCGCCAGGGAGGAAACTATAATACGACCCATCCCTCAAACGGGCGTATTAAATACGAAAAAAAGCAACAACAAAAAACACATTGGTGTTTTATTATTAGCACTTTGAATTAGTTTTCAATGCAGAAAGTAGCAAAGTATCTATGTACTCAAATGCTTGTCTTTACTTAACCAAGATCTCTGGAACATGAACTATTTAACATCAGCCAGCTCATAGTAAAATATAAAGTATATTAAATCTGTAACTTTCAGTGGATCTTAATTGCTAATTTCTCAAGGAATCTTAATTTCAGATTTAATACCGATACATGCGTACTATTAGCGAACCTGCAGAACTTCTCTGGATACAATTTGAATGGTTGTTAATCGCTTTAATCATTTCGTGTCAATGATCTTAAAGGTTGACAAAAAATGAAATGAATGCCATTTAATGCTTTTAAATGAAACATGTTTTGTACCGAAATAATCCATGCGACGTTAAGATCTGACATTGGTAAAACTTGAACACGCCGATATGCTTACTAAGGCTTCACTTGCAATCAGTATTCTAATTAATGTTTAATTTCTTCACTATGTAGCATAAAACAATGAATATGGAACAGAGAATGTGACAAAAATACAAATAAAAATACAAAAGGTACAAAACTTAGGAGGGTAAGATTTAAGATAGTGGACAAAGCTGTCTGAACAGCAATAGCCTGCATTTTCAGGTATTTATTGTCTGGGTTATTAAAGCAGTTTGATTACCTATAGACTTACAATTAAGTTTATAAAAAAGAGAAAAGTACAGGGCAATAATACAAATTTATCAGACTATACTATTATACATGTAGTAGGAAAACTAGCCTATCAACAAATATCTCGAAATATTTTGAAAAGCTATTTGATAAACTTCTAGTTTGATAATGGTGTGAACTACTCCCTGAACAACAGTTTACTTGACGCAATTAATGCTCAAATTAGGTGATAAAAGTTTCCTAGAAATTAAGTAAATCAGTCTCAAATCTCCCTTTCCGATACTTTGTTCAGATTAATTGAAATGTTCATTCAATCGCTTCTTAAATACAATTTTAAGCACAGACAGGGAGCTCTAAAATTCAAAATACTGTTTTTTTTCCTTTCTGAAAAATATAGCAAAATACAAACACGTACTTTAATAGATGTTGTTGAAAGTTTGCAATTAACCTGATTATGTCTTCATTGTTAACATTGTTAGAAATAAATTCATGATTTTCAGTTTGACACCATTTCATCTACGTTTCCTCAAGAAACATAAAACGAAGATGTTTATTATACCGGAAGTGTCAATGCTTAACGACTTTAAGTGAAAGCTGACACAGCATTTATTCTACTTAATGCTGTATTTTGTTTGCTTCAGATAGCATCTTTGTCAAGACGCTGATCAAATTAAATTGTCTTGCCTTAAAATCAAAACAGAATTATTGTAATAAATCTGTATACACTTGTGAAGTGTATTATAATATGATTCACTTATAACAAAACCTTCAGCAGTAGACTTAATTTTACTTGTACTTTACAACAGAATATTGCTACTATAGTTGTTTTTATTTATGCTTTAAGTCGCGCTTCCTTGTTGATCAGTGAATCATATATTTAACACTTTTCCCTGAGTAATTGTGTGGGGCGTCCGTTGTCGATTGGTTTTAAGGTCGTTGACTTCTAACCACCTTATTGTAGGTTCAAATCCCGATAAGAACTTTCATTTCTACTAAGGTACCGGTGCCCATTTGTGTCTAATTAATGCACGGAAGGACACCTGAGGTATTCCTCCACCAGTTAAAGCTGGAATGTCGCCATATGACATATACTGTGTTGAAGTGACGTTAAATTCAACCAAAAGATAATCTATTTTATCGATTTTCTATTTTTTCCATTCTATCTCGGCTGTGTTGAACTATTGTTTTAACAACCCCCTAGTCCACTTAAAAGAAAAAGATATTACTGTTGTCATTGAAGGTCACATGGCGTTGATCCAATCCAGGTAGGGTTCAAACCCATAGCCCCGCTTTCTATATGTTTTACAAATGTTTTATTTTAATAATTACTTCAGTTGTGAGTTTTTATACCTTAGAAAGCACATAAATAAAAGTATCCTCACTCAGAGTGCAATATGCTTAGTAATTATAATCAACAAAGTTCATGATCTCACTTTGTATTTCACCTACGTCATGTGTTCATTCAAATCCCTTGTGCTTTGAAAATAAAGAATCTAATAATCATTGCCAGTAATAATCTAGTGGAGATTAATTGCCCGGTCATTCACCAAACATGACATTTATATTGATCATTGATATATGCTTGTTTTTACACGTCATGTCAATATATGTCAAGCGCCAAACGATGGCATTATCATTCAATATTGAGTAAGGATTCAATAAATTGTTTAGAATTTCTGTATACATAATGAAACAATTCCTATCCTAACGTTCATGCGATAAGATTTATTGTTTCTAATGAAACATGTAGCACTTTCAAATCCAGTAACTACCTCCTTACACTTTACAGGTCGATTATTAAAACTGAATTGAAATAAATATATGTATTTCACACCATATGAAATATAATTTATGCACTTCCAAACGTTGAACCACGTGATGTTCCAATAAAAATCATTATCAGATTAAATCTTATCAATTTGCCTCGTTTCCATTTCAGGAGTCCAAAACATCTATATCAAATGCATTGCATACGCCAATATAGCCTCGGTTTCATTTTAAGAGTCCAAAATATATATCAGATGCATATCACACCCATATCACCTATTGTTTAGTTTCCAGAGTCCTTATAACTATATCAAATGCATATCGTACTCCATCTAGCCTCATTCTATTTTCAGGATAAAAGATGTACAATATTTCCTTAAGTAAAAATGTTCTGTCAAAATGTCAAAAATGGAAATAAATATATCATTATACATTGTTGAGAACACGACTGATTCTGGTGTTATTGTACACAGCTGCAACTCGACTAGCGCCCCGTCCAATATAGATTTGACAGCTGTGTACTCGTCCATTATAATTCAGTATTAACAATGTATAATAACCTTATAATACTGTATATGGATAAGGGCGGGATTGTTCTGAACATTCTCATTTTAAAAACCCTACCTTTGTATATAAGTTGCGTTTAATAAGGTAGGGCGAAGATATTTATGATGGTAAAAAATTAAAAGAATGTTAAAGTTTGTAAAACAGCTATATACTAGAATATTTCCTACGAGCTAGCTAATCAATATTTTAAACTTGTCTTTTATCTTCAAAAGGGCAAAAGTTACTATTTCTTTAGATGGTGAAAAGGTTTCTTGAGACAGTATGTTAAGTGGGAAAAAAAAGAAAACAACACTAAATTATTCATAATGAAAATCCTTTAGTAATGTCAAATGATTTTGAAAATTAGTTGTTCAGACGAATTTAGCGGGCACTGAAGGCACGACAATTTTTTTTTTCAAAATGGAGACTTACAAATTTGAAATTTTATGTCCGGTGATAGTTGGTTTAATTGGATATACATTTGGTGAAATGTGTGGCCCTTTGTCCGAGATATCTATTCAATATATTGGCATGCGGATGAAGAATAACGCGAGGTTATCGATAAACATCACTACAAATTCGGAATGCGCGAGACAATGTAAACTGTTCGGGTTCTGTAAGTCGATTAACTATGGTACTGTATCGCAACTATGTGAACTAAACGAAAAAGACAGCGCGGACAGTCCCGGTGACATTGAGGTGAACAAAGAGTTCGATTATTACGACATAAATGACTGGCCTGAGGTACAATTTTATATTTCCTTATCTCTGACTGTCTTATAGCTACTTTCGCTTGTTGATATGATAAAAAAGGATACAAATGCCAGTTATTATGTTGTTCTCAGTATAAATATATGCAACAGTAAGTTTTTCTTTACATTATTATTATGGTATGGCGTTGTGATAAAGATATATTCAACCATGGCATTAATTGTTATGTGTGCTATTCGGTTTTTGTTATTTTGACCGTACAATTCGTAGTTAAAAATTCAGAGATAAGCATGACCAGTATTAATCATACAGCATTGGGTGGAATTATTTCATATTTGATTGTTTATCTTTTTAGGAAATAGCAGAAGGCTGTGCCGGCCACTCTTGTCTAACAGACGAACTATGTATCCCTGGACCGAACAAATCTGCACTGTGTCTACCTTCGGCCGAGTTTAGTAAGATCATATATATCAATATACTTCGGTTCCAGCCCGTCTGGCTGTTAGCAAAATAACATATAATATAAAGGGATCGTTTGGCCTCGGCTGAGCGTGTTTGTGCCTATGTTGCGACATGTATCGACTCTTTGTGAGACAACCACTCTTTATTTAAAGGTCTATTGTGAAGATGTTGACGTTTATTTTTTTTTGAAATAGGTCAATAGGTCGATTTAATTGTACTATAAAGAGATTTTCAAAAAGCAATTTAGACCCCATGCAGCAATAAAATAGTGGCATCATTATCATCATCATCATCATTATCATCGACAACAACTAACAACAATAACAACTTGAAAATAACAACTTGAAAGTAATATCCATGCACATATGATTATGAATAAACGATGTTATAACAGATGCATGAAAACTTTACTTTATACAGTTGATCAAAAGGAGAACGAGTGCGCAGACAATCCGTGCAAAAATGGTGGCACATGCAACGACTACGTGAACAGATACACGTGTGATTGTGCGTCCGGATGGCGTGGTATGAACTGCGACATTGGTAACTGAACTCTTTATATTTGAGTCATATCAGTAATCTGTTCTTCAGTATAATAATTATATGTAACAAAATGTTGTAGGATGCAGGGGTTCCTGTCTTTCCCCTCATCAAATATAGTTCGTCAAAGTCGGCTGCTTATGTGTGTTATAATCAAAATAATACGTACATTTTCAAGTATTTAGATTGTATAAGTCAAGAAATCGTAAAAATGACGCTAAATTGCATTCTTTTCCCTAACGATCTGTCTGAAACTACAAATTGTATTTGACATACTCTTATCATGATCTTTTTAAAAGAAACAACAAAATATCTTCAACTTTAATTATATATCATTATCTCCTATGTTTTCAGATGTGAACGAGTGCAGAAGTCGTCCGTGCCAAAACGGAGGCACGTGTATCAACGAAGAAAACGACTTCTTGTGCGTCTGCCCAGCACCACATACAGGGAAACAATGTGAAGGCACGATGTGACACTATGATAGAGATCTCGTTTTTTGCAAAGCTTATTCTTGCTACTGAAATATGTATAGTTGTTTATCGTCGAATATTATAAAAATATTCGGTTTATTCTTCATAGATTAGACAAAAATCAAATGAATTCTATACTAGTTGTTGTTAAAATATAAATATGAAACAAATTATTTTAATCTTTATTGACTTGGAAATTGAAAACTCTTCAATATTTATACAAACATGGCTTTTTCAGAAATTTTTGAAAGCTTTGATATTGACTATAGTTATTTCTGATGTGGTGTTGATTGTACATGTAGAAATAAATGCTGTAATATTGACTGTAGTGTTTGCTACTGTGATATTGACAGCAATAATAGCGGCTGTAATATTGAGTATTGTTATTACTGCTGTAAGATTGACTGAAATTGTTACATCTGTAAAAAAGTCTGTAGGTATAACTTTTATAATGGTGTCTGTATGAAATGCTACTGTGATATTGCTGCTCTGGTAACAATATGTAGGTACTACTGCTGCTGTAATAATGTCTGCCATTATTGCTTCTGTGATATTAACAGCAATTATTGACGCTGATATATTGACTGCTGTAATTTCTGTATAGGATGTCGACCGAGTAAGAGGTCTTTCTGTTTAGGAAAGACCTGGTCACGAATTTCATGTGACACCGAGAGCGCGTAGCGCTCGAGGTGTTTCATGAAATTCGTGACCCGGTCTTTCCTAAACAGAAAGATCGATATACGAGGCCGATATCCAACTTACAAACCGTTAAAACTATATTGGCTTGAGCAAAGGCTGATCCGAAGCACAAATATTATTTTTTAACACAACGCATAAACAGGTAAGCTTTTATCAACGTTCTGCTTAAATACAATATATATTTTGCATTTAAGTTTGCTTTCCCCTTTAAAATAAAAAAATAAAAAAGCTAAATGTGCAATTTGTCAATAATTAAGTGAATAGATCCCCGGTCGTTTGCCTGTGACTTCTCACTTCTCATCTCGTATATAAATTTTTTGTTTTATTTTATTCATTTTACTTTTATTTATTTATGGATGCTCTTTTGACTTTCACAAATTTGCGCGAGAGTTTTTGTGTATTGAAGCACAATGAAATTTCGACAATAGGCGATGACTTATGGTAGCAAACAATTCAACAGTAAAGTATTTTTTAAAACAGGGAGGGGTGGGGGCAAATGTCCGCCCCTTCCAAAGATATGAGTGGGCAAATGGCCGCCACTGCAAAAAGGGGACAAACTTCCGAGGGGGCAACCGCCGAAGGGCAATGTGCAGATACCCAGCAGACCACGAAAGACATAATTATTAATTATTTATTCTTATGTATGATTTTAGTGGTTAGCTTGCTATGCTCTGCCTTGTGCCCTTTTCTGTTTTTGTTTGGGGTCCTCCTGGGCTCCATGCCACTGGCTCTTGTTGCTGGATCGGTCATTGAACGCCGCCTTTCCTTGTTGATTTTATTTATCATATTTTACATATATATATATATATTGTTGGCAAGTGTGAGATACATGAACTGAAACTCTATTTTATATAGCAGATTATAAAGTGTTCTAGAATAAAAAACGATCGTTCATCATAAAATGTTTTAAACTAAATCACTTATAACTTTATTTACATTTTAAGATCGTAATGAGTATGCTGTGATTTCTGCAGAAATCTATATAGTTTCATAGACATGAACTTGAAGCATCCATTTTGTTATATTGTGAACTTATTGACAGAATTATTATTACTTTGACGCGATTGAATAAATGTTAAATGTGTCCTAACTTTGATATGCTATCCATTATTTTTATTGAAAGATTTAATATAGGGATGCTGAAATAATTGCTTAGTTAAAAGGGTTTTAATTTTTGATTGCATTTCATGTTTTCTTTGTCTGCGCATAGGCAGGTCTATTTTTTCACGTGTATTTCATTACCGGGTCTGTCTGACTAGTACATACATGAGCACGTGCAAAAGCTAGACCTCATAACGGACTTCATTTTGTTTAAACAGGTCTATCCGAAAAATATAGACCTGTCACAAACAATAGAGGAGGTTTGTAATCTTTGATACTGACTGTACTTATTTCTGACAGCAATTATTGCTGCTGAGATTCTGACTGTTTTTACTACAATTTTGATATTGACTGTAGTTGTTACTTCTGTGAAATTCATAGTACGTATTGGTGCTGAGATATTGAGTTACGTTTCCACTGCTCTGATAAAATAGGACTGATTTACAACACACCATAATTTGATGGTTCACGCTTCTATCACAGTTTGTAAACTAATGAGACGAATTTTACATTTATTGATTAATATACATGTATAACATTTCATAAAGAAGCAACGTTACAATAAGATAGATTGACCATTTATACAACTTTCATATATTATCTGATTTTTACAAGTTCTGCTTTGTTTCAACACTTGATGTTGCTTCACATTTAAAAAAAAACTTTAAACTCTTTAAGAACATTAGCTACAGTTTTCATAAAAGTCTGGAATGAAAGAATTGTTTTCATAGAGTTTCTTTGTTTTAGGATACGATTACAGTAACATTTTCAGCGACAAGAAATGTGGGTCCTCGGTTTAATTTTTGATAATCTGTCCTTTAACATTTTTGCTTATTACATGGGCAAAAATATTTTACAATTATGGTAATGAAATGTCTAATATCTTCAATTTTTCGTGTAGCTGACTTCCACTCAAGGCATCGTGCAAAACTAACAAAATGGTTAAGTGCAGTTTGTTTATTTATTCTTCTTAGTCTTATTGAAATGGCCCGTCATTCTTCTTTATTCAAAGTGAAAACGTATTCAAAAATTTATTAAATTACATTGTAGTTGGAAATGAAATAGGAAAGAAAGATAAAAAACAACAACATTATTTTTAAATAAAACACAGATTTTTAAGACTTATATGTATAAGTTACATATGTATCTGTCCTTACAATGACCTAAAATTAGTATTAAATTAAATCTACATGCCTCCAGATGAGCCAAAATATATCAATCTCATTAAACTTGAGAAAAATGTACATATATTTTAGGGAAAGTAAAATGATTCAAGATTCAAGTAAAAATTAACATGTAATGTGCGATTGATGACTGATTTTTCAGTATTTATGAATATATTTCTATTGCGTTACTAACGCAGTAAAGGCTATTTTTGCATATTATGACCTTCTTTTACATGGGTTGCAAGTTTCATTGATAATGTGTAAATTGCTTCCTTATGGCTTCTTCACAATATTATACTTTTAAATACATTTTCAAAATTTTCATGAATCTGGAGGCGTGCTGCTTTAAAATCAAAGGCACATAAGACAAAAACTCAGTATCGGCAACCTCAGTTATCTCACTGAAATGTGCCAAATTAAAACAAATTTTAAGAAATTCTAAGATAATGTATATAATAAAGAAATTCTATGAAACAGTTTTCATTCAGTGTGTATGCCAAATATTTTCGCTTCTGTTCCTTTTTGGCATTAAGTACAATAATTGTAGTGATTTGGAACTTTTTATGGAAGTCAAAATACTACTTCTTTTATGACAATAATTACTTTCTTCAGGTCATAAGCATCTTACATACTCTAAAACAGTTATTTTACTGTTGCAAAACTCATGTTTGCCCTTTCATAAAAATAAAACTTTTATTCGCATCTATGGCATAATGTTACCTTAACCACAGGTGGAACGCTGTGTTCAAATATTCAAGAAATCACTGTACAAAGACAATGCTACTACAAACTGACAAACTTCAACCATAGTGAGAGCAGCACTGATTAATGTAAAATGTATGAAGCAAAAAGGTTAATTGATGTTTTGATCGTAAAATCATTTTAAATCTTATTTATGTATTTCACTCTTTGTTTGGATAATTAAAATAATTCAACGACTGGCGTTCGTGATTTGTTATCATGATTTCCTAATAACAACAATTTAATTTGTCTTATTTTAGCATGTCACTCCTTGCAAAATAAACAGTATCAGACATAATCATTGAAAAATGAGGATGAACATTTATCAATATTGCAAAAAGCATGTTTATCCCTATGATATTATGACTAAAAATATGTTGAAGAAATACATACCAAATTAACAATATGGTTTAAGAAAAATAAGGTTACAGGTAATTCAGACAAACTGTCGGATTTTTTTTTTCGGGACATATGATCTATTTAAATATTTTGTTTACTTTTTTTTCCGGTTTCATTCAAATTTCCTTGAACATTCAAGTCCAATAAGGATTGATGTAAAAAAATTTGAAATACCTTTTCTGGTTTTCCAACGATTTTCCAGATATTTTACTTCCATACAAAATACTAGAAACAGGAACAAGAGTTTATGAATATTGGAAATTGGAAAATGTTACAAATTACAAAAAAAAAAAAAAAAATATAGAATAATAATAAATAGAAAAATTGGAAATCAAAATGACAAAATGATAACATTTCTGAGGCAAATTTAAATCAACCAAACAAATTTGCTTTAATATTGATATTGTCCATTGAATGTTTAATGAAGAACAATTTATAATGAGCTTACAAGAAATACTTTTGTTACAGTTTTTATAAACTGTAGACTGAATGAAAACGGTTCCATATGATTTATCTAAACTAAGCATGATCTTAAAATGACATGATCTAAAAGACAACATATTTTGAGCGACAAACAAATTGAGAGTTCCAGATTTCATTTCTTGAGTTATCTGCCCCTGAATTTGAATATTATGCTTTTTATGTCGTCTTATTTTTGGATCATAATTTGATCACAAAACAAATTTCCATATTATTTTATAAAATACTTTTGTTTTTCTTGTCCCTTTATTTAAAAGTGAACTCTCTTAATCACATGGTTCTTATAAACGATACTCCTTATAATCAGTCATACTTTGCAATGTCATTACTCAACATGTATTTGCTATATACGTATTTGTAAAGCTGTTAATGGACATCTAAGTCCCAGGGTGATATTAAAATAATTTGTACCGTCTTGATTTAAGCTATATTAATTCATAATGAATGCTTTCTCTACATATATCGTTGCTTGAATACCATTTCATTCAAATATTAAAATCTTCATATTTGCAACAAAAATCTTGGTACTGTAAATACCAGCTCGAAGATGGGATAAATGTTTCGAATTGTTTTAT